ATGTAAATCCGAAATTCTAAATAACTGTCACTTCGGATGTAAAATTCGGACCTTTATATGGCGGTTATGTCAAAACATCAACCTACCTTGACAACAATCTGTGCAGAACTCTTTTTGAAATTCAGTTCAATATATTTTTATTTTTACGAGAATCTGACCCAAAGGACTAAGAGAGATTCCAAAAAGGGGGTGGACAATATTTGGTGGAATAATTTTGTCCAACAGAATGTTAAATTATAGCCACTTTAGATGGAAAAAGTGCTTAAGCACACCTAAATTGAGGCGGAACTTTTACATAAGGGCTATATTGAACATTTTTTTTTGTTTTATCCTCCGAAAATCGGACAAACCACATAACAGTCACTTTGTTTGGAAAATGCTTCTAGGATCATCAAACTACAATAAACGCGGAAATACCTTTATATAGGCGCATTGACAAAACTCTGACCTCCATATATTGAAAATTGTCTGCAAAGATGTAGTTCACCCTCCAAGAATTCGGAATGTCAAAATAGAGCCACTTCATTTTGAAAATGCGGCAAAGGCTCTCAAAATAATGAAAATGGATCAGTATTTTGAGAGTCGGTCCTGCTCTCTATTTAGAGCATTTTTTATTTAAAGTTTTTTTCTTCATAATTTAATTTCGAAATCTACTGCAATAGGATAAAGAGAAATATTTATTTATAGACTATGAATTGTTGCGTTCGTAATGTAAACAAAAAATTCCCTTTGGGTGTCCCATAACAAAGGACAATTTATAATTACAATAGACATCCTCTCAAGGACAATAGACAAAAAAATTCTGGATGGGAAAAAAATCTAGAATAACAAAACCCATTTCAATTAATTTACTTTACTCAATCTACTCAAAGGAGCCATTTATCCTTCATGAGTTAACACAATATTTATAAGGGATAAAAGAAAAATAACAGCAACGGCTATTGAAATAAAATTTCAAGTATCTTCCGGTTTTTTTTTCTCTACAGGAGCACTTATTGAAACGGACATTTGAAACGGACATTTGAAATCGTATAACAATCTCCTATACTAGGGTAAAGGAAATGTTTTTGTTTATATGCAAATTGGCAAATGGCTACAGTATACCATATGATAATCTAATATAAATTCTTCTCTGATTGAAGGTCCCTTCTTCCCAGAATTATTTTTCAATGCCTATAAGAGGAATATAGATAAATATTTAAAGCATATTTTTTCAAGGCTCTATGGATTTTTTAAACAATAATTGTTAATGCCTATAAGAGGCGTGGATTTTTTGAAGAATATTTTTTCAATGTGTATAAGAGGCGTGGATTTATAAATAATATTTATACCCTACACAACTATGTTGTCAGGGTATTATAGCTTTGTGCAGCCCCAAATGTTTGTAACGCCGCGAAATATTGGTCCTAGACCCACCTTTAAGTGTACCGATCGTCATATCTCGACTAGCTGAGTCGATCTAGACATGTGTGTCCGTCCGTCCGTCTGTCCATTATAATTTGTAAACACGATACAGGCCACAGTTATGGACCAATCTTCACGAAATTTTGCATGTAGGATGGGTTCTGGCCAATGAAGACCCCTATTGTTTTTGGAAAAGATCGGTTAGTATTTAGGGGATGAAATGGACCAAATACTAAATTTTTGTCGGTTTTTCTGGTCGCTCCCGAGGCCGCAATTATGGCCCAAACACCGCGAATTTTTGCATGGAGAAGGGGATCGGGCCAGAGAATAAGCATGCATGTTTTGATAAAGATCGGTCAATATTTAGCGGGTCAAATGGACCCTGACTTTTGTGTGAAAAATGACAAAATTTGTATTCTATGGCATATATATTTACTCCTGGAGGATGTAGACCCCAAGAGTTGATAGCACATCCAAGAGGAGTGGTTGGCCTTTAAATTGATACCAAATATAGTGATGTATCTACTCAGATGTGGGAGTTACAGTCAAATATTTACAGGTGCTTACGTATTCAGATATTATTCAGTAACCCATTACCACATTAGAGGGAGAAATATCGCGCTGATGGCTTTGAAATTTTTCATGAAGTTCCAGTTATGGTCAAGAACAACGCCTATAATTTTCGGCGATGATCAGATTAATATTTTGGGATGAAATGGACCGAAAACATAATTTTTTGTGTGTTTTCGAGTAGAGTATAATCCGGAAATCACAACACAACCCACCGTGAAGGTAATCTGGACAAGTAATTAGAAGGACTGTACTGAATATTCGAAAAAAGTAAGGAAGAGGTGTTGTTAACCTCTAATCGGACAAGAGGGGGCAAATATCACGAAATATTACTCAGACTCGGAATAAACATCCTCAGAAAGTTAGAGTTCGTGGTAGTTGTGTAGGGTATCGCATGGTCGGCCCCGTCCGACTATACTGCTCCGCTCACTGGTTTTCAAGATGTAAAGTGGGCGTGGATTTATTAAAGAATATTTTTCTAAGGCCTATAAGAGGCGTGGATTTATTAAAGAATATTTTTCTAAGGCCTATAAGAGGCGTGGATTTATTAAAGAATATTTTTCTAAGGCCTATAAGAGGCGTGGATTTATTAAAGAATATTTTTCTAAGGCCTATAAGAGGCGTGGATTTATTAAAGAATATTTTTCTAAGGCCTATAAGAGGCGTGGATTTATTAAAGAATATTTTTCTAAGGCCTATAAGAGGCGTGGATTTATTAAAGAATATTTTTCTAAGGCCTATAAGAGGCGTGGATTTATTAAAGAATATTTTTCTAAGGCCCATAAGAGGCGTGGATTTATTAAAGAATATTTTTCTGAGGGCCATAAGAGGCGTGGATTTATTAAAGAATATTTTTCTGAGGGCCATAAGAGGCGTGGATTTATTAAAGAATATTTTTCTGAGGGCCATAAGAGGCGTGGATTTATTAAAGAATATTTTTCTAAGGCCTATAAGAGGCGTGGATTTATTAAAGAATATTTTTCTAAGGCCTATAAGAGGCGTGGATTTATTAAAGAATATTTTTCTAAGGCCTATAAGAGGCGTGGATTTATTAAAGAATATTTTTCTAAGGCCTATAAGAGGCGTGGATTTATTAAAGAATATTTTTCTAAGGCCTATAAGAGGCGTGGATTTATTAAAGAATATTTTTCTAAGGCCTATAAGAGGCGTGGATTTATTTAAGAATATTTTTCAAGGCCTGTACGAGGCGTGGATTTATTTAAGAATATTTTTTAAGGCCTATAAGAGGCGTGGATTTATTTAAGAATATTTTTCAAGGCCTGGACGAGGCGTGGATTTATTTAAGAATATTTTTCAAGGCCTATTGGAGGCGTGGATTTATTTAAGAATATTTTTTAAGGCCTATAAAAGGCGTGGATTTATTAAAGAATATTTTTCTAAGGCCTATAAAAGGCGTGGATTTATTAAAGAATATTTTTTCAAGGTTGAGGATCTTTTGAAGAATTTTTCAAGGTCTATATAAGGACCTTTGATGCATTACCAGGATCATGATTCCCTTTCGGCAAGTTTAGTAAAGTATGGCTGCAATATCAGCTGTTTTATGTAATCGGCCATTACATATCATCATCAGGTCTTTCATTGACATTTTATTATCCTTCAATTGTCCTTTTTGTGAAGAAAATAATAACCTCAAAAGATAACAGCTGTTGTTGTTGATAATACATTTCCTTACAAGCATGCCAAAAAGGCTCAGGTTTCCGCCTTTGGAAAATGATGAAGAACAAAAATGAGGAAGAATGTTTCAACCCATCCTAAAGAAAAGATAACAATAATAATTTTTCTTTTCCGGCTATTTTCCATTTCCTGTAAGGATAAGAGACGAATGCGAGATAACGTTTTGTCAGCCAACGGCTGTTCTAGATGACGATAACGTCGATGATAAATTGGTCAGACAATACCTGATGGTGGTTGTAATGTGAAAGGATTTGATTGGGACCTCCTGTTGCAAGGAAAATGTGATTATGATCTGAATACTTAAATGGATTTTTAAGTACTGTTACCCATCAATTTGCTATCTTCGGATTCTGTCAGGCCCCTTTATGGAAGATTAATTAATCTGCGCGATTAAATTTTCCAGCATCAAGGGGATTTAGCAGAAGGCTTCTTCCATATCAAGGATTACAGAGAGCGAGAGACAAACCACTTAATTTTCAGTTTTTTTTTTTTTTTTTGGAAAATCCGTAGAAGCAGTTAATTCACCGACCAAGCGTAACAAATTCGAGCCGTAAAAGAGCAAAAACTAATTAAATTTCAAGGACCTGAAGATCATAAAAATGCCGTTTAGAAAGCGGCCGTTTGATTGTCGGCTCTTTTCCTTGGGATAGCATTGGAAATTAAGTGTTTCATAGTCTTGTAATACTTAGGAACATATTGCGGTAAGAGCTGACGGATGGATGGACGGACGGCCAGTCAGCCAAGCAAGTTGTTTATTTTCTTTACGAAAATTAAGGATCAAGGATCTATAGAAGAAGAGCCGCCAATCTTGCTAGCCAGCATTAAAAGTGTGCAAAATTGATTAGCAAAGGCATTTGGCGGACCAACAACAACCAAAGGATCTACCCTTAGGTAGGGTGAGGTTAAACTGGAATAGTAAGGACGATGTGTCCTTTTGATAAGTTATCCTGTAGGTAGCAAAGATGCCTGCTGTTAGGTAATCGACAGGATGCAGTAGACAATAACCCCGAATACAGCTACAAATTAAGTTCGGCCATAAACAATAGGGGATTTTCGTAAAGGTGGAAAACCTTAAGGACAATAGTAGAGCAGGCGGAGGATAATCGTAAAATGACCTTAAGTTAATGATAATGTAAGGATTTTTTACATATGATCGACATATGAAAAAATTGTGTTTTGTGATATTTGACACAAGACAAATATTTACCTGGCTGGCAGTGAGGATATGTAGGACGATATAAAAGAGCCTGCCATCCTGAGAGCAAACATCATTCACTCACTGCAACTCAAACAAGAAACATCTAAGAAACCAAACAAAAAATCACCTCAAAATGGCACCATCTCAAATGGAAAACGACTTCGAATACACTCACAAAAAATTCAACTGCGGATATTCACACAAGAAATTGGGTATGCGTTTGATACGCCGTGACAGTCAGGACGAAATGGAAATTGACGAACAGGAGCAACAACCACAAAGTCCATCACAACAACCTCAAAGAACCACCTCGCCCAGTCTCTTCCGGCCCTATGCCTTGGATGAAGACACTGACTCACAATCACCCAGGAAGCGATCCTGCTCCGATGAAGAATATTTACAATTGGCCCAACAATTCTCACAGCAACAATCTCCCGACTGTTATGCCTTGAAGCTGAAACGTCAACGGGCCGCTCTCTATATGAAATATGTTATGCAATATTATGAGAATGGCAATGGTTGGCCCTCGGTACATCCCAATGTTCTGCAACAACAACAATTGCATCATTAAATAATTTTTCTGCTACTCCCAAGGAGAGAAACTACATTACATGAAGCCTCATACCAAAAAAGTGATATTCCAACACATGAACATTCACTCACACTTATACATACCTACCTCACACACACACCCTCATATTCTTGTAAAGGATGATTTTGATAGTCGACAAAACATTAATTATCTATTTTTAGTAAAAAAAAGTTGTTTTTTTAGTATTTGTTATAAAAAATATTATTTAGTATTTTAAGAGTAAAAAAAGAAGACATATTTATTTATAAAATAAAAAATACATTTAATGATTTAAAATTTTAAAACTTAATTTTTTATGTTTTTTTATTTTAAGCGAAAATTAAAAAAAAATATGGCTAGGAAATTTTGAAATCTTTTTAATATGGTGTTAAATCATCAATTGTTAAATTGTTCCCAATCTTCCTGTGAATTTTACATTATTCATATTTTTTAGTAACAAAGGAATTAAGTACTTAATTAAATTATTATTGTTAATTTTTTGTTATTTGAAAATTTAGCTAAAAAAAATATTAAATATTTATAAAATTTAATAATTAATAAAATAATACTCTCCACGCCTATTCCTTCAGAAAATATTTTTTTAAAATTCAATGCCTAGTTCTAAATGTGGCGCCCAATCATGATATAAAAATGTCAAAAATAGTAAAAGTAGTGATCGAAGCCATATAGTTGGGCGGAGCTGACCATATAATACCCTACACCATTAACAATAATCTTTATTCTACATATTCGGAGCCTGATCATATCAAAACAGACATTCCAATAAGTTGGCCATATCCCCACGTCCACGTCTAAAATTTTTGATGTTCGGCTCATAATTATGATCTCTAGAGCGACAAGAAAAAGATATAAATAACAATTTTGGCCTATTTATTTCATCATCTAGCTATTATCCGATCGCCATCAAAAACTATAGATGTCGTTCTTGACCTCTATATGAAATCATAACCATCAACGTAATATTTCCGCCCCCGTATAGGGGTAATGGTAATACTAAACAATATCAAAATACATAGGCACCTGTCAATACTTAAGTACATCTCCCAGATACATGTACATACATCTATATAATCGACCTCTATTTAAAAGTCACCCAAAGGGCTGGGTCTCATCTAAAAATATTGACCGATTATAATTAAAATATCCAAAAAGAGAATGTTATTATTCCTTGTTCAGAACCCATTCGGATCACAATTTTGACCTCTAGACCGAAAAAACAAAGACAACAATAACCAATCATTACCAAAAGCTATATTTGTCGTCTTTGGCCAGAACCGAATCTAAATGTTATTTTGTTTGTAGATTCAGTTCTGGCCAAACGATTGGTTTAAAACTGTGGTATGTTCTTTGTTTACAAATTATAATGGAACGTGGACGGACGGACCCACATGTCTACATCGACCCAGCTGGTTGGTGTAATTGGGTCCACCACAAATTATAATACCCTCACAACATATGAAAATTGTTTATCGTACTATGAAAATTCTTGAAAGAGAAAAAATAGTCAATATCGGCCCTTTTTCTATTTGAATAAAAGACTTCCCGATAATCTCAATTGTAGCCATGTTTTGGCATACCGCTTATTTAAAAGTCTCAAATGAGTTTCTTCATTTGAGACTTAGAAGTATTTTCCAATCGAATTTTTGTTTTAGAGGGTAAAGAAGTAACTTGCCTTGCCTTAGCAGCATTTCCAAATAATTTGGTTGGTAATTGGTCCTAGATCCACCTTTAACACTAGAACGCCGAAGGCGGTCATTTTGACCGCTTTCCAATTTCAAGTACAAAAGCAACTGCGCATTTAATGACACTTTTTTTTTAATTATGGTGACTTTTTGTACCTCATAGAATTACGTTTATTATAAAAAATTCACCAAATTTAAAAAAAAGTGTCATTAAATGCACAGTTGCTTTTGTACTTGAAATTGGAAAGCGGTCAAAATGACCGCCTTCGGCGTTCTAGTGTTAAATATACCGATCGTCATATCTCGACTAGCTGAGTCGATCTAGACATGTGTATCCGTCCGTCCGTCTGTCCATTATAATTTGTAATCACGATACACAGTTATGGACCAATCTTCCCGAAATGTTAGGGGATGAAATGGACCAAATACTAAATTTTTTACGTTTTTCTGGTCGCTCCGGAGGCGACAATTATGGCCCAAATATCGCGGATAGGGTCAAAGAATAAGCATGCCTGTTTTGATAAAGATCGATCAATGATTATCGGGGCAAATGGACCCTGACTTTTGTGTGAAAAATTACAAAATTTGTATTCTATGGCGTATATATTTACTCCTGAAGGGCATAGACCCAAAATGTTGATAGTGTATCGCAGAGAAGTGGTCGACCTTTAAATCGATACCAATTATATTGTCGTATGTACCCGGATGTGGGAGTTGCACATAAATATTTACAGGTGCTTACGTATTCAGACAGTATTTAGTAATCCATTACTAGACCTCGGATTTTGCATATTTGCATATTTTTTAATAATGAAGATATCGAAATTCTGATTGGACACAAATTCGTTTCAAAGGATTTAGAATTATTTGAAGGGTTCATATTTTTTAATTTTTTGCATATTTGCATATTTTGCATATGCACGAGATATGCAAAAAATATGCAAAATATGCAAAAAATATGCAAAATATGCAAAATATATGCAAAATATGCAAAAAATATGCAAAATATGCAAAATATATGCAAAATATGCAAAATTATGCAAAATATGCAAAATATATGAAAATATGCAAAAAATATGCAAAATATGCTAGGTCGATATGCAATAAATATGCAAAATATATGCATAAAATATGCAAAATATAGGCAAAATATGCAAAATATATGCTAAAATATGCAAAATATGCAAAAATATGCAAAATATGCAGAAATATGCAAAATATGCAAACATATGCAAAATATATGCAAAATATGCAAAAATATGCAAAATATGCAAAATATGCAAAATATGCAAAAATATGCAAAATATGCAAACATATGCAAAATATGCATAATATGCAAACATATGCAAAATATGCAAAATATATGCAAAATATATGCAAAAAATATGCAAAATATGCTAGGTCGATATGCAATAAATATGCAAAATATATGCATAAAATATGCAAAATATAGGCCAAATATGCAAAAATATGCAAAATATATGCTAAAATATGCAAAAATATGCAAAATATGCAAAATATGCAAAATATGCAAACATATGCAAAAATATGCAAAATATATGCACAATATGCAAAATATATGCAAAATATGCAAACATATGCAAAATATGCAAACATATGCATAATATGCAAACATATGCAAAATATGCAAAATATATGCAAAATATATGCAAAATATGCAAAATATGCAAACATATGCAAAATATGCAAACATATGCAAAATATGCAAACATATGCAAACATATGCAAAAATATATGCACAATATGCAAACATATGCAAAATATGCAAAATATATGCAAAATATGCAAAAATATGCAAAATATGCAAAAATATGCATAATATGCAAACATATGCAAAATATATGCAAAATATGCAAACATATGCAAAATATGCAAACATATGCAAAATATGCAAAAATATATGCACAATATGCAAAAAATATGCACGGTGTGCTAGGTCGATATGCGAGAAATATGCAAAAATATGAAAAATATTGGCAAAAATATGCAAAATATGAGCAACATACTTCACATATGCAATTATTTTAATAAAAAAAAAAAAAAAAAAAAAAAAAAAAAAAAAAAAAAAAAAAAGATTTTTCATGGTAGTTTTCGAATTTGTGTGCTTTCTTTGTTTTTAACCTATAGAAATCTAATTTTGTATGTATGCGTTTCATGGTTCAACTGTTAGATTTTTGGGGCATTATGAAAAATTTGCTAAATATATGTATAAAACATGCAAACATATTTAACC